GGAGGACGTGCAGGTGAGATGGAAGGACATGGAGGTGAGATGGAAGGACGTGCAGGTGAGATGGAAGGACATGGAGGTGAGATGGAAGGACGTGCAGGTGAGATGGAAGGACATGGAGGTGAGATGGAAGGACATGGAGGTGAGATGGAAGGGCGTGCAGGTGAGATGGGCGGACATGGAGGTGAGATGGAAGGACGTGCAGGTGAGATGGAAGGACATGGAGGTGAGATGGAAGGACGTGCAGGTGAGATGGAAGGACATGGAGGTGAGATGGAAGGACGTGCAGGTGAGATGGAAGGACATGGAGGTGAGATGGAAGGACGTGGAGGTGAGATGGAAGGACATGGAGGTGAGATGGAAGGACGTGCAGGTGAGATGGAAGGACATGGAGGTGAGATGGAAGGACGTGCAGGTGAGATGGGAGGACGTGCAGGTGAGATGGGAGGACGTGCAGGTGAGATGGGAGGACGTGCAGGTGAGATGGGAGGACGTGCAGGTGAGATGGGAGGACGTGCAGGTGAGATGGGAGGACGTGCAGGTGAGATGGAAGGACATGGAGGTGAGATGGAAGGACGTGCAGGTGAGATGGAAGGACATGGAGGTGAGATGGAAGGACGTGCAGGTGAGATGGAAGGACATGGAGGTGAGATGGAAGGACATGGAGGTGAGATGGAAGGGCATGCAGGTGAGATGGGAGGACATGGAGGTGAGATGGAAGGACGTGCAGGTGAGATGGAAGGACATGGAGGTGAGATGGAAGGACGTGCAGGTGAGATGGAAGGACATGGAGGTGAGATGGAAGGACGTGCAGGTGAGATGGAAGGACATGGAGGTGAGATGGAAGGACGTGCAGGTGAGATGGAAGGACATGGAGGTGAGATGGAAGGACATGGAGGTGAGATGGAAGGGCGTGCAGGTGAGATGGGAGGACATGGAGGTGAGATGGAAGGACGTGCAGGTGAGGTGGGAGGACATGGAGGTGAGATGGAAGGACGGGTGAGATGGAAGGACATGGAGGTGAGATGGAAGGACGTGCAGGTGAGATGGGAGGACGTGCAGGTGAGATGGGAGGACGTGCAGGTGAGATGGGAGGACGTGCAGGTGAGATGGGAGGACGTGCAGGTGAGATGGAAGGACATGGAGGTGAGATGGAAGGACGTGCATGTGAGATGGAAGGACATGTGGTTGAGATGGAAGGACGTGCAGGTGAGATGGAAGGACATGGAGGTGAGATGGAAGGTCATGGAGGTGAGATGGAAGGGCGTGCAGGTGAGATGGGTGGACATGGAGGTGAGATGGAAGGACGTTCAGGTGAGATGGGAGGACATGGAGGTGAGATGAAAGGACGTGCAGGTGAGATGGAAGGACATGGAGGTGAGATGGAAGGACGTGCAGGTGAGATGGGAGAACGTGCAGGTGAGATGGGAGGACGTGCAGGTGAGATGGGAGGACGTGCAGGTGAGATGGGAGGCCGTGCAGGTGAGATGGGAGGACGTGCAGGTAAGAGGAGAGGATGTGCAGGTGAGATGGGAGGATGTGCAGGTGAGATGGGAGTACGTGCAGGTGAGATGGGAGGACGTGCAGGTGAGATGGGAGGACGTGCAGGTGAGATGGGAGGACGTGCAGGTGAGATGGAAGGACATGGAGGTGAGATGGAAGGACGTGCAGGTGAGATGGAAGGACATGGAGGTGAGATGGAAGGACGTGCAGGTGAGATGGAAGGACATGGAGGTGAGATGGAAGGACATGGAGGTGAGATGGAAGGGCATGCAGGTGAGATGGGAGGACATGGAGGTGAGATGGAAGGACGTGCAGGTGAGATGGAAGGACATGGAGGTGAGATGGAAGGACGTGCAGGTGAGATGGAAGGACATGGAGGTGAGATGGAAGGACGTGCAGGTGAGATGGAAGGACATGGAGGTGAGATGGAAGGACGTGCAGGTGAGATGGAAGGACATGGAGGTGAGATGGAAGGACATGGAGGTGAGATGGAAGGGCGTGCAGGTGAGATGGGAGGACATGGAGGTGAGATGGAAGGACGTGCAGGTGAGGTGGGAGGACATGGAGGTGAGATGGAAGGACGGGTGAGATGGAAGGACATGGAGGTGAGATGGAAGGACGTGCAGGTGAGATGGGAGGACGTGCAGGTGAGATGGGAGGACGTGCAGGTGAGATGGGAGGACGTGCAGGTGAGATGGGAGGACGTGCAGGTGAGATGGAAGGACATGGAGGTGAGATGGAAGGACGTGCATGTGAGATGGAAGGACATGTGGTTGAGATGGAAGGACGTGCAGGTGAGATGGAAGGACATGGAGGTGAGATGGAAGGTCATGGAGGTGAGATGGAAGGGCGTGCAGGTGAGATGGGTGGACATGGAGGTGAGATGGAAGGACGTTCAGGTGAGATGGGAGGACATGGAGGTGAGATGAAAGGACGTGCAGGTGAGATGGAAGGACATGGAGGTGAGATGGAAGGACGTGCAGGTGAGATGGGAGAACGTGCAGGTGAGATGGGAGGACGTGCAGGTGAGATGGGAGGACGTGCAGGTGAGATGGGAGGCCGTGCAGGTGAGATGGGAGGACGTGCAGGTAAGAGGAGAGGATGTGCAGGTGAGATGGGAGGATGTGCAGGTGAGATGGGAGTACGTGCAGGTGAGATGGGAGGACGTGCAGGTGAGATGGGAGGACGTGCAGGTGAGTGAGATGGGAGGACGTGCAGGTGAGATGGGAGGACGTGCAGGTGAGATGGGAGGACGTGGAGGTGAGATGAGAGGACGTGCAGGTGAGATGGGAGGACGTGCAGGTGAGATGGGAGGACGTGCAGGTGAAATGGGAGGACGTGCAGGTGAGATGGGAGGACGTGCAGGTGAGTTGGGAGGACGTGCAGGTGAGATGGGAGGCCGTGCAGGTGAGATGGGAGGCCGTGCAGGTGAGATGGGAGGACGTGCAGGTGAGATGGGAGGACGTGTAGGTGAGATGGGAGGACGTGCAGGTGAGATGGGAGGACGTGCAGGTGAGATGGGAGGACGTGCAGGTGAGATGGGAGGCCGTGCAGGTGAGATGGGAGGAAGTGCAGGTGAGATGGGAGGACGTGCAGGTGAGATGGGAGGCCGTGCAGGTGAGATGGGAGGACGTGCAGGTAAGAGGAGAGGATGTGCAGGTGAGATGGGAGGATGTGCAGGTGAGATGGGAGGCCGTGCAGGTGAGATGGGAGGCCGTGCAGGTGAGATGGGAGGACGTGCAGGTGAGATGGGTGGCCGTGCAGGTGAGATGGGAGGACGTGCAGGTGAGATGGGAGGACGTGCAGGTGAGATGGGAGGACGTGCAGGTGAGATGGGAGGACGTGCAGGTGAGATGGGAGGACGTGCAGGTGAGATGGGAGGCCGTGCAGGTGAGATGGGAGGCCATGCAGGTGAGATGGGAGGACGTGCAGGTGAGATGGGAGGACGTGCAGGTGAGATGGGAGGACGTGCAGGTGAGATGGGAGGACGTGCAGGTGAGATGGGAGGACGTGCAGGTGAGATGGGAGGCCGTGCAGGTGAGATGGGAGGAAGTGCAGGTGAGATGGGAGGACGTGCAGGTGAGATGGGAGGCCGTGCAGGTGAGATGGGAGGACGTGCAGGTAAGAGGAGAGGATGTGCAGGTGAGATGGGAGGATGTGCAGGTGAGATGGGAGGCCGTGCAGGTGAGATGGGAGGCCGTGCAGGTGAGATGGGAGGACGTGCAGGTGAGATGGGAGGCCGTGCAGGTGAGATGGGAGGACGTGCAGGTGAGATGGGAGGCCGTGCAGGTGAGATGGGAGGACGTGCAGGTGAGATGGGAGGCCGTGCAGGTGAGATGGGACTACGTGCAGGTGAGAGGAGAGGATGTGCAGGTGAGAGGAGAGGATGTGCAGGTGAGAGGAGAGGATGTGCAGGTGAGAGGAGAGGATGTGCAGGTGAGAGGAGAGGACGTGCTGGTGAGACGAGAGGCCATGCTGGTGAGTTGGCGTGCAGGTGAGATGGGAGGACGTGCAGGTGAGATGGGAGGACGTGCAGGTGAGAGGAGAGGATGTGCAGGTGAGAGGGGGCGTGTGCGGGAGGCATTGTGGCTGGCATGTCTCCCAGCTTGCCTCGTCACAGCCCAATGTGACCAGCTGTGCTCTGTATGCAACCTTTGTTTGTGCTTCGAAACCTCACTCCCACTCGCATTTGCTGCAGCTATGCGTGCGCTTGTTGTGTGCGCATGTGTACATGCGTGCATGCATGAGTGCGTGCATGAGTGCGTGCATGAGTGCATGGATGTGTGCGTGGATGTGTGCGTGCATGAGTGCGTGCATGAGTGGGTGCATGAGTGTGTGCATGAGTGCATGCATGAGTGCGTGCATGAGTGTGTGCATGTGTGCGTGCATGAGTGCGTGCATGAGTGCGTGCATGAGTGCGTGCATGAGTGCGTGCATGTGTGCGTGGATGTGTGCGTGCATGTGTGCGTGCATGTGTGCGTGCATGAGTGTGTGCATGAGTGCATGCATGAGTGCGTGCATGAGTGTGTGCATGTGTGCGTGCATGAGTGCGTGCATGAGTGCGTGCATGAGTGCGTGCATGAGTGCGTGCATGAGTGCGTGCATGTGTGCGTGCATGTGTGCGTGCATGAGTGCGTGCATGAGTGCGTGCATGAGTGCGTGCATGAGTGCGTGCATGAGTGCGTGCATGAGTGCGTGCATGAGTGCGTGCATGTGTGCGTGCATGAGTGCGTGCATGTGTGTTCATGAGGCATGCGTGATGCACTGTGGGCGGCCATCGTGGCCAGCCTGCCTCACATCACAGCAACTTCGTGCCATCTGCATGGCCACATGTACCAGTGTGCCATCTGCATGGCCACATGTACCAGTGTGCCATCTGCATGGCCACATGTACCAGTGTGCCCGCCTTTGTGCTGCACCAACCCCACTTTTACTCATTGCGCTTGATGCATCTGTGTGTGCTTGTGTGCATGTGTGGTGTGGTGAGTGCACGTGCACAGGAGTACGAGGCCACGGCCCAGCACCTCACGGACTTCACGCGCCTCAATGAGGTACCCCTCGCACCCACGCCCCTTGCTTCGTTCGAATACGCACGTGCATTGGATGGCAAGGGGTGGGTAAGGGTGTGGGTGAGGGGATGATGGGAGGGAAGCAACGGCAGTTGTCTAAATCAGAGGCTGGTTGCCCAACACGCTCCGCCCTCACACCCATTTGTTTCCTTTCCGCCTCTCACTCATCCTATCTGCTCGCCCTCTTGTCTTCTCCCTCACGTCTCAGCCCTGCTCGTGTCCCCCTTTTTCTGTCCACGCGCCTGGCCCCCCTTTTCTGTCCACTTGCCTGGCCCCCCTGTTCTGTCGACTCGCCTGCCCATGCCACCAGCTGCACTGGGATGGCAGGAGGCAGCGCTACGCTGATTATGGCAACCACACCGACAAGGTCAGCAGGGAGACACATGGGCCCATGGGGCCAGTGCATGGGCAAGAGCGGCGGTGCATGGAGGCAGGGGTGGCGCATGGAGGCAGGGGTGGCGCATGGAGGCAGGGGTGGCGCATGGGGGTGAGAGCGGTGTATTGGGAACGATGAGAGAGTTGTGAGGTGTGAGAAGAGCATGAGACGAGCATTGCAAGAAGGGTGGGAGGAAGCGATGGAGGAGAGGAGGGTGGGAGGAGTGGTGGGAGGAGGGTCCCCACATCCATATCCACACGCCCTTCCCTGCACAATGCCCCGCGTCCTGCTCTCCGCCCTTCCCTACGCCCTGCCCCACGTCCTGCCCTGCACTTTGCCCTCCGCCCTACTCTCCGCCCTGCTCCCCGCCCTGCCCCGCGTCCTGCCCTGCGCTCTGCCCATCTCCACACGCCCTGCCCTGCATTCTGCCGTGTGCCGTGTGTCACCAGGTGCGGTTGGAGGCGGTGGAGATGGTGGACCCCGTCACGCACAGCGTGCGGCGAGAGCAGCGCCGCGTGGTCAAGGGCACTCCCACACTGCGATTCGTGCCACACTTCGGATACGTCTCGCTCTTCCCGCTGCTGCTGCACTTGATTCCACCTGTAAGCCTTTCATGTTTTCCATTTGTTTCCATTCCGTCCACCCTGCCACTACAATCCGCCCCCTCTCCACGCCCCATCCCTGCAAAGTGCATGGCCACAGCAGCACGGCCATGGGCATGGGCATGCCATCTCCCCACCTGCCATCTCCCCTCTCCGTCCCACGCCATCGGCTCCTGCTGCGCTGTACTTGTGCCCCATCCCTGCCTATCCCAACCCCCCATGGCATGGGCAGCATGCGAGCGAGTTGGGGCAGCAGCTGGAGGCGCTGCGCGAGGAGAAGCTTCTCTGGACGCCCTTCGGCCTGCGCTCTCTCGCCACCACCAGGTGACACTTCACACTGCCACGTAGCATGTGCTTTTATGGCACGTGGGGAGATGGCAGGTGGGGAGACGGCATGCCCATGCCCATGGCCATGCTGCTGTGGCTCATGCTCATGCCCATGCTCATGCCCATGGCCATGCCCACGCCCATGCCCATGCTGCCACTCGTGCTCATGCGCACGGCTATGCCCTTGCCCACGCCCATGGCCATGGCCATGCCCATGCCCATTCCCATGCCCATGCGATGCCGTTCACGTCAATGTTCATGCCCATGCTCATGCTCATGCTCGATGCACCAGCAACCACGCTCAGCTCCTTATCTCCGCGCAACCCCCACCGCTGCTGTGCGTGTGCGCCCGTCCCCCAGCGCGCTGTACATGCGGCGCAACACGGAGCACGACCCACCGTACTGGCGGGGGCCCGTGTGGATCAACGTCAACTACCTCGCACTCTCCGCCCTGCGCTTCTACTCCACTCGTACACTCCCACCCCGGGGAAGCCACCACCTCCCTTTCTCTCTTCCACTTGCGCCCTCGTGTGCCGTGCTGCTGACCTCAGGAGTGGGATCATTACTCCTGACCTTGCCTTGTGCAATTTTCTTCCGTGAATTGTCATCCTCAATCAGATGGGTTTAATTCCTCTTTCATTCCCACGGTATAACGTTGTCCCTCCTCTCCCTCCCTCCTCCCATTCCTAGTACATGCGTACACGTATATACGGAACAATGCATATCCATGCATAATTTTGTACTTGAACACACACACATGCGCACGCGCGACACACACACACGTGCACGGGCGTGCACACACACACTCACTCATTCATGTCTGCATGTGTGTACACACACACAGCGCACACACGGCCGCATATGCATGCTTCTTTTGCAAACCTGTTGTCTTTCCCTCGTGACCCATTCTTCCTTCCCTCGTGACCCGTTCTTCCCTCCCCTGCTCGCTCTCAGAGGCAGGCCCACACAGGGGCAGGGCAGCAGAGCTGTATGGGGAGCTGCGCTTCAACCTTGTCAGGTACCCCACTGCATGCCACCCACTGCCTTCACTAGCTGTCCCGCTCTTGGGGTTTTCCTTGATTCTCCGCGCACTTCACCGTGCACCACCACTTGCTGGCTGGCAGGAACATAGTGGCACGGTACCAAGAGAGTGGGTATTTCTGGGAGCAGTACGACAACACAGCGGATGGCAAAGGGAAGGGAGCACATCCATTCACCGGATGGACTGCCCTGCTCGTCCTCATTGCATCCGATGCTTTATGATGACCAATCATTTATGACTGCTACCTATAACTATTGTGCAAGAAGTTCGATGCTGATAGCTGGAACTTCCTGATTATGACAGTGGTACCATGTGCAATGATTCCCCCCCCATTTGAATCGTACTAGACATCCCGAATGCCAGAAACTTGCTTACGGGATTACAGCTAGATAGTGCCAGATTCTCTATTGACATTCCAACAACATGATGGTACGCAATATGTACATTGGGAGACCCGTGTCCAATGCAATATCATACGGGTGCTCCCATCAACGTTCGGAGGCAACTGCCACGCACACAGCAGTGACTCTGGCTTTTTATTCGAACATAGCCCTAGCCTGTATGTCATCCCGCTTTTAGGGTTCGGTAGGAAATTCTTAGTCGTCAGCAACAACCATAGTAGGCGGTTCCAAGCAGGAACACTCCCGTGCCACAATAGGCTTGAGGCCGACGGAAGCGTGGCGGAACGAAAGCTCGCCGAGGCATTCCTGCTGACTGCCACCCCGCCGCACCGCTCTGGAAGTGCTGTTGCTGCATGTGCTGCTGTTGTAGCCAATGCATCCTTCGCCGGTGCTGGACGAGCATCGCGTGCTGCACGTAGATCCGTTGCACGCACGACTCTCGCAGCACGAGCCTCGCCTGCGGCGGCTGCAGCTGGTGGAGCCCGCTGGTCGCCCCCGTCGCCCGCTGCGTGCTGTCTTGATCCGAAAATGCTATACGCGCTTCCTTCGTGTAGAGGTCGTCGGGCAAACGAACTTCCGTGTCACACTCGTCAGTAGCACACTGCTTGTCCCCAGCCGCCTGTGCGATCGAATCGGACAGTGACGAAGTCGACGTGTTTCTGGATAAGCACGAGAAAGTGGACGTCACGGACGCCTCGTCATCCGAATCGCCCACATTGTTGTCAGATTCGTCGGTGATTTTCTTGCAATTGTCGCATTCGTCGCTTTCGTCGCCTCCCTTGCCGGTGTGCTTCAGCGCCTTGCTTGTCACAAGCCCACCCGACAAACCAGAATGGGTGACCGTGACGGCAGCATCACCTGTAGCATCACTTGATGCAAAAGCGGCTGGACCATTATCGGCAGCACCCCACGCGTCGTTACCCCCGAAGACGCGAGGCGCGAGGTAAAGGGCGGAGATAGGCAAGACACGGCGCTGATTTGAGCATGGCATTTGCTGCGAAGACGTGAATTCCTCCAAGCAACACTCGGCCATCTGCGTCGCCACATCCACGCAGTTAGCGCCGCCCGTGGCAGTAGTCTCAACGAGGGGCACTTTTGCAAGCTTGCTGAGTCGCTCCATATCGTGCTGGGTGCGAGTACGAGTGAAATTATCAGTGTCCTGCTGCTGCGCGTTCTTACGCCAGCTGCCGTCTGCGAGATGCAGGCTTGGGAAACGATGAGATTTTCCTGCTTAAAATATTCCAGAAGTGACCTGAAACGGACTGAACCAGGGCTAAAGTTGGTAACAGGCTGAAATTGACCAGTGCTGATTTCCGGCGCTATTTTCAAGGGGTGACATGGCGATGTTGGTGTGTTGGTTCGACCGTAAGTGACGGTGAAAGCGCGTCTCGGGGCGCTGCTACTATGCCCCATACTCTCCCTTGTTTCTTGCCGCTGGTGTGTGGCGTACAAGGAGGGGTTCGCGAAGCGGGAGAGTCCTTTCCGAACTGAAGGGGACAGGAAGACGGGACTTTCGGAGGCTGCGAACGAAAGAAATGAACGGGGAGGCTAGCACAGTTCGCGAAACACAATCGCACGTCGCCTTACCTTGCCTTAGTCGCGACAGCGACCTCAGCGTTTCGCGACAAATGTGGGAATTTTCCCGATACTCGCCAATAACAAGCTTCACATTCCCGAAGCGCGCCCATTTCACTTGATAAACTATATCTCATACTTCGCAATAATGTATTAGGCAATGCTGTCATTTCTCTCTCCTCTTCCAACCACGCTCCGCCAAACTCTCTGAAGGCCCACTTGTTTATGAAGTTCAGTTTTTTAATTTAATTTGGTTGCTTTGCAAATATATTTTTTTATTTCACAGTTTGGGGATGTCAAACAAAATTGTTTTTTGTTGCAATAAAAAAAGGTAGATCGTGCCTAGGATCACCTCAGGAAGGTTCCCAGAATCAGAGTTGTTGGAATAACCGAAAGGTTATATAAGCATTCCCGAAGCTGTTCCACTGTACTAGTACCGCAATAGCTCATATAGAGCACGCGGAATGTCGAGGGTCGGTCGAAGGTCAACCGTCTAAGAAAGTCAACGGTCGTGACCCTTGACGATCCAGTAACCGCGCGACAGTTAACTGACTGCAACACGGTAACTGTCGAGGATAGCAATAGTCGCGGTTACTGTAGCTATGCAATACAGTTAATAAGGGAATGTACCCCTCAGAGTACATGGCTAGTTAGATGTCTATTTAATCCCTTGTATTCCTATCTTCTAATCATCTTGTTCTCTTTCATTATTATACAACAAGGTCACTACGGAGACTTCATTGTCTCCTCTCAGGCTTTAGTTGTATCAGCAAGAGTGTTGCAGTGGAAGAAATTGTCCTCAGGTCAGAGTGAATGTAAAATGATTGAGATGATTAAAACATGCAAATACAACGGTTTATATGAGAGTACTGGGGAATACGAGAGTCCTAGTCTAGCCATGTACTCTTAGGGTTACATTCCTTTATTCGAATTCAAGCCAAACCGTGCGGCGCGTACAGTTACAAAACCGTTCACGCCAATTTCCTTGTTACTGCAACTGGCCGATGTTGTCTGGTCCGACGGTCCAGATGCTTCCCAACCGTTCGTGTCGCTTTGACTCTTCGCCTTCGTACTCTCTTCTGTGTTCTTAGTTGTTGCTACTGGCAGGAATGCTCAGTAACACTTCTCATTTTGCTTATTCATAATACGTCCCTTCATTCCTCGCCGTGGAACGTCTTCACTCGCTTGACTACTCCACTAAGTTCGGGGGAGTGCTGGTACTGCTGACGGGGCAGTCGTTTGGTGAGGAAGTAGGCTGCCATGTCAGCTGTTGGACAGTACGTCAACTCGACCTTGCCTTTGTCCACTTCGTCTTTGGCGAAGAAGTACCGCAGCGCAATGTGTTTGGTGCGGGATTTTCGCAGCTGACACACGCGTGAGTCGCCTTCACCGTATGTGTGCGGTTGCTCCACGTAGATTACCACATCCACCAACGCATAGAGGAATGCATTCTTCACGTCGATTTGACGAAGTGGTAATTGTTTTGCGGCCGCGATGGCGAGGTGTGACGGCTGACCGTCGCAAATGTCTGGTCGAAGTCAATGCGTCGTAACTGCGTACGACCCAGCACGCCTTGAAGAGCTGAATCGTGCCATCTGCTGTGGTCTTCACATGGAAGACCCATTTTCCACCTGGCAGGTTGATTGCGGCTCCCCTTGACGGGTACCTAGATGTCGCGGAACTCAAGCGATTTGATTCTTGCATTCATCGCCTCGCGCCACTCCTTGCTGTGTGGTCCCGTAAGTGCTTGCCGCGGGTTCTTGGGTTCGTTGACACGTGGCGCTGTTGAGGTGAGCTGCAGCCCAGAGACGGTGCTGTCGTGGCGATGCTGGGGGATTACCTCCTGCACATCATGGTGGTCACTCTCTCGCTCATGTGACGGTGGCAGCGCTGCGCCTCTGCTGCTCCCTTCTGATATGTTGACTCCTCCTCCTCCTGACGGTTTCTCATCGTCGTCGTCGCTGCTGTGGCGATCGACTCCAGTAAACTTGCCAAGTTTGTCCTATTCCAGAATGGCTGTGGAGGCTTCATCCTTGGGCGTGGCATAACTGTGCCCGTCATTGGCGTAAACGCGATTCGCGTTTGTCTGCTCGTCTTCGCGGAACTGAGCGAGGTTGAGCCGTTTGTAGAAAATGTTGTCGCGTGCGTTCATCACTGGCTGAGAAGGTGCACACCTTCCATGACTTCTATTCGTAGCTTACTTTCCTCTGACCCTTTCAGTGTGCAGACCTTTGAGGATGCGGGATGGCAGTCTCGCCAGGAGGAGGAGTACAGGCAGAAGGTGGGATCCTTGCAGTTCGCGGCCTGTACCACCCGTCCCGACATCTCCTTCGCCTGCAGCAAGTTGGATTCGGGCCAGACAGTGCGGAGTGACCAGCACTAGAAGGAGCTGGGCACGACCTTGGCGTACTTGGTGGGCAGCCAGGATGTGGCGCTGGAGTTTGGTGGAGGGTCGGAGTCCTTGGAGCTGGTGGGCTATGCCGATGCGGATGATGCGGGAGACAAGCAGAACAGGACTAGCACTGGTGGCTATGTCTTCGTTCTCGGAGGTGCTGCTGTCTCTTGGGCGAGCCAGAGAATTTGTTGCGCCACCCTCTCCTCCACTGAGTCTGAGTACGTTGCTGCTGTGGAGGCTGGGAAGGAGGCGCGCAGGCCCAGATGAATGCCCCAGCGCGTGCGGCTTTCAAACTTCTCGATAGTTGAGGTTAGCGGGCAATATTGCACCATGCACCCCCACACGCGGAGCATGGAGGTATCGCCTTTCGTGCCGGTACACTTCATGTGAGGGGAAAGGTTGCCTGTGATGGCCGTGGTGGAGAGGAGGTCGTGCACTCGTATGACATGGTGCATCGCATACGACCAGTATTTTGGCGGAAGCTTCGATTGCTTTAGCAATGCGCATATTTTGGTCATAAGCATGCGATAGTGCGCTCGACGACGCCCTGCTGCGGATGTGACTAAGGGAGGGAGATGTGGTGCGTGATTCCTTTCTGAGCCAGGTAGTCCTGCAGCTCCTTGCTGCGGAATTCTGCTGCACCGTCTGATTGCCAAATTTATAATTTCTTCCCAGTTAGCCTCTGCGCATGCGCCAACCAAAGACGGAAGACCTCATATGCTCTGATGCGGAATTGCACATTGGCAACCCATACGAAGCGCGCTCCCGCGTCGACGAATGTGAGGGTGTACCCCTCATTGTTGAGCCCACAATACTCGACGACGAGGAAATCGCTGTACACCTTGTGCAACTTGGGGTAGCGATTAGTTCATGGCTCCAGCAGCGGGAATGGCTGATGGCTTAGTGCGGCTTCGGGGCAGACGGTTCAGGTGCGCGGTTGTGATGTTGTCCTGATCTCTGTGCCGGCAGGGCGAAGGAGTGCGCCATGCGCAAAGATGCCAGCTTCGATGCAATTGTTCAGCGTCACGCGCGAGGAGTGCGCCAGGCGCAAAGATGCCAGCTTCGGTGCAGTTGTTCAGCGTCACGCGCGAGGGATGGCGAGGCGCTGATGCCACAGATCATCGTTTGCGCAGAGCCCGGAGGTGCGCATGTAACGAGCGCGTACTATTTCGGGGTCTTCTTGCGGTACTCGAGTAGGTTCCACTGGCGTTTCTTCTTCGATAGCTTCTTCGTTCGCCGTTGTTAGGATTAGCGCGAGGAATCCTCTGAACGGCGATGGAATATTGGTCCCGGGGATTGTTCCAAGGACGATGGTAGACTTGCGTGGCTCGGGAACGAAATGGAAACACTTGTTGTGGATGTGGAAAATCGTCTAATCTAATCGACTAGCACAAAAGAAGAGGCATCCAATTCAGTGGACCAGTCAAAGTGATGCGTTGGGTAGTCTGGTCGGTATGCGCACAAATAATGGGCGTACCGGGCAGAGTTCAGGAGCTCAAATTCTGAGAACCATATGTAAATAAAAGTACTTGTTGTGGATGTGGAAATAGTCTAACCTAGTGGAATAGCACAAAAGAACAGGTATCTAATTCAGTGGACCAGTCAAAGTGATGCGTTGGGTAGTCTGGTTAGTATGCGCGCCTATAATGGGCGAACCACGCAGAGTTTAGGCACTCAAATTTTGAGAACCACATGGAAAAAAATGGAAAAACTTGTTGTGGATGTGGAAAATAGTCTAATCTAGTGGACTAGTACAAAAGAAGAGGTATCCAATTCAGTGGACCAGTCAAAATGATGCGTTGGGTAGTCTGGTAAGTATGCGCACCTATAATGGGCGTACCAGGCAGAGTTCAGGAGCTCAATTTTTGAAATTCATATGGAACGAAATGGAAACACTTGTTGTGGATGTGGAGAATAGTTTAATCAAGAGGACTAGCAAAAAAAAGAGGCATCCAATGCAGTGGACCAATCAAAGTGGTGCGTTGGGCAGTCGGGGCAGTGTGCGCACCTATAATGGGCGTACCGGGCAGAGTTCGGGCGCTCAAATCATGCCAACCACATGG